TCTGTTCCTTTGTAATTGTATCCCCCCCCCCCCCCCCCGCATTCCAGAGCTGTCTTAAGTCTACAGTCCTGCTCCTCCAAAACACAGCAAAAAGGAGAAACAGTTTTCCTTAATGATGGTTCAAATTGACCATGAGTATCAAATATATTCTGATGCCACCCTGGAATGTGCTGACGGCGAAATAATTGGCAAAAAAATATTTTCCCTAGCACAAAAGGTGAGTTTATATAAAATTATGCACCCACCCCTCTCTTAGAAGAATGAAGTATTCTAGGAAATATTAAAAAGGCAGAATATTTTCTCTAAAAGAGAAATAGAAATCTTAAGGGACACAGAAACTCAGCCCCAGCAGATATTTTGGCGCCAGCTTATCTACAGAACAAAAATCTGGGCCAGCTTATCTACAACACAAAAGACCTTCACCCTCAAGACATTATTTATTTATTGAATTTATATTGCCATCTATTCGCCCATGGTGACTCGAGGTGGCTTACAGAATGTAAAAAAACCATATTTAAACCAAAAAAGAAACCAATAAAAACTAACAAAAAGAATCAAATAAATTAATAAAGTACAATAGAACAAAATCTGGGGGGAAATCACCCCCCAACTCCCATCCCCCACCCCGATGACAGCGGATCACACTAGCCATTTGATAGGCTCCATCCTGCTCTGGGTTCCCCAGGCCCACTGGCAGAACCAGGTCTTCAGTGCCTTCGGAAAGAGTGCTAGAGTGGGGGCCATTCTAATCTCTGGGGGAATGATGCTCCAGAGAGACGGAGCCACCACAGAGAAGGCCGTTCTTCTGGGTCCCACCAGGTGTATCTCCCTCAGGGATGAGACCCGCAACATTCCCTGCCTCCCCGCTCTAATGGGTCGGGTAGATGTGACCAGCAAGAGACATTCCCTCAGATAACCTGGTCCCAAGCCATGAAGGGCTTTGAAAGTGATACCCAGCACCTTGAATTGCACCCGGAAGCAAATTGGCAATCAATGCAGCTCCCGCAGGAGAGGTGAAACATGTGCACGCCAGGGTCTACACAAAATACTGCGGGCCGTTGCATTTTGCACCAACTGGAACTTCTGGATGTTCTTCAAGGGCAGCCCCATGTAGAGCGCGTTGCAATAATCAAGACAGGAAGTGACTAGGGCATGAGTGACTGTGAGTAGGGACCAGGAAAGGGTGTAACTGGTGCACAACCCGCAGTTACGCAAAGGCCCTCCTGGCCATGACTGCCACCTGATCTTCAAGCAGGAATTGTGACTCCAGGAAAACCACTAGATTACGCACAGGGTCTGTTTGGGGTAGTGCCACCCCATCCAAGACCAAAGGTGGCAATTCTCCCTGAGCCAACGAACCCCAAACCCAGAGCCACTCGGTCTTGCAAGGGTTTAGTTTCAACTCATTGCTCCCCATCTAGCTCCTAACAGCCTCCAGGCACTGCGAGAGGGAGGACACAGCAACCCTTAACTCACCATGGGCCGAGACATACAGCTGAGTATCATCAGCATATTGATGATACCTCAGTCCATGGTGACGGATGATCTCACCCAGTGGCTTCATATAAATGTTGAACGGGAGCAGAGAGAGTACCGAGCCCTGCGGAACCCCGTAAAGCAGTGGGCGAGGGCTGGATCTCTCCCCTCCTATCAACATTGACTGAGAGCAGACGCAGAGGAAGGAAGTGAACCAGGATAGCACAAGGCCTCCTGCTCCCATCCCCCAAAGCTTCCCCAGAAGAACCCCATGATCAATGGTATTGAAAGCTGCTGAGAGGTCAAGTAGAGCAAGGATGGATGCACTACCCCCATCCTGCTCCCATCAGAGATCATCCAGAAGTGTAATCAATGCCATTTCTGTCCCAAATCCAGACCTGAATCCTGACTGGTAGGAGTTGAGATAATCCATTTCATCCAGAAACCCCTGGAGCTGCTGCACAACCACCTTCTCAACAACCTTCACCCAAAAAGGGAAGATTGAAGACAGATTGGAAATTATCCAACCGGGTGGAGTCCAGCAATGGTACTTAAGAAGAGGGAGGACCACAGCCTCCTTAAAGTGCTGGGGCACCATGCCCTCCTGTAGGGAAGCATTAATCACTGCCAGAGTCCACCCACCTGTCACCTCCTGGAAAGCTTTCACAAGCCAGGAGGCACATGGGTCTAAAATACAGGTGCTCACACGCATACTCCCTAGGATCCTGTCCACTTCCTCAGGAGCAACAGGGTTAAACCGTTCCCAGATAACAGGGCAAGAACTTGCCTCAGGATTTTTCACTGGGACAGCAACCATGCCGGCATCTAAATGGGAATGAAGTCGAGCGATTTTGTCTTCCAGAAAATCCGCAAATTCCTCAGCGCTCCCCTTCAGGTGGATCTCAATCTCCTCCTTCCCTAGGAGGAGGAGGCTCACCTTAAAGAGGGTTGCTGGGTGATTATCTACAGATGCAATTAGTGTGGAGAAGTATTTACACTTTGCCACACGAATTGCCATGAGGTAGGCCTTAGTAACAGCTCTTACCCATGTTCGATCGAGTTCATCTCCTGTCTTCCACCACCGGCGCTCTAGATGTCTCCTCATGCATTTCATCCCTTTCAGTTCCTCTGTATACCACCGGGCACAGAGAGGTCTATGCGTGAGGAGAGGTCGCAAGGGTGCAATCCTATTCAGAGCCTCAGTCACCTCCCTATTCCAAACAGTGACTAAGAGCTCGGGTGGACTGCACAGTAGATCTGCAGTTATAACCCCCAGCTCCTTCTGGAACCTATCCGGATCCATTAGTCGATGGGGGCAGGCCAATCTAATAGGTCCTGCTTCCCTGCAGGGCGGTGTGTGTGCAGCTTTTGAAAACTCATGGCCACCAGACTGTGATCCAACCATGACAAGGACAGGTCCACCAATTCCAGGTCACATAGACACTGCTCCGATAAGAACACCAAATCAGGTGTGTGACTACTATTACTACTCGGGCTCTGGATGATCTGGGACAGGCCCATGGAAGTTATGGTATCCATGAAATCTCGGGCTACCTCCGCCCCCACCCCTAGAGAAGGCAGGTTGAAATCCCCCAGAACTATAAGCCTAGGGAATTCCACCGGCAGCCCTGCGTTGAGGTCCAGGAGTCCAAATAGGGAAGCTGCCACGCAGTAAGGAGGCTGGTACAGCAGCAGCCATCCCACCTGGTTCCTTGAGCCCAACCTAAGAAAAAGGGTCTCACAGCCGGGCACTTGTGGAACAGTGCCTCTGGAGGCTACTAGAGATTCTCTGATAACAACAGCCACACCTCCTCCCCGACCCTGAGGTCTAGACTGGTGCCAAGCTTGATAACCCGCTGGGCATGTTTCTACAAGGTAAACGTCTCCCTCCGGGCCCAGCCAGGTCTCGGTTATACAAGCCAGATCAGCCTTCTCTTCGAGGATCAAATCGACAATTAGGCTAGCTTTATTGCAGGCTGATCTGACATTTAAAAGCAGCAGTCTAAGACCAGGGCCACCACAGATCTGCTGACCAGGAAAATGAGGTTAGTGCAAGGGGACAGAACACCAGACTGGTACTGAACACCAAGGTCACATTCCCCATTCCTGCCCATCCCTTGTCTCCCATATCCATGATAGGATTAGCCCTCACTCAGAGTCAAACCAGGACAAAGCCATTAAGCCATAAAGGGAATTACCCAAAGCCCTTTCATTACATTACCCAGCAAGATTCAATCAAGTCTGGGACTCAAGACAACCTACAAAGTTACACCTGCATGGCCCCGTGAGAGTATGACAACCAATCAGAATACATTTCTTGCCACAGGAACAGGAAGCAAATTCAAAGTGCAATAGAGGGTATAAATCTCTCTCCCTCTCATACCCATGTGCTCAATTTTGCCCAGAACCTCAAACCATGTGGTCCTGTCCACCATTAAACCATCCTTCCAAGCAGTCTCCGTGGTTCCAGTGTCTTTCTTTCCACTTGGAACTGAACCTAGATGGACATTTCTTCCAATATCTCAAAGATGCTTTTTTCTTCAAAAGGCAACTGGACAGCTTTAAGACTTGTGGACTTCAATTCCCAAAATTCCTCCTCCAGCGACGTTAGCTCAGGAATTCTGGGAGTTGAAGTCCACAAGTCTTAAACTTGCCAAATTTGAAGACCCTTGCATTTGGGGGGTTATCTGTGCCCTCAGGTTCACCTGAATCAAGGTGCAATTAGTTGTGTAATCTTCTTGGAATTGCTGAAAGGGCTGCGTTGTGGACTGGAGACAGGTGGTGTCTTAGTTCTCCCCTTCTGTAAGGGAGAGCTGTTCAATTCTAACACAGATGGATTCTTTTACCTCTCTTTCAAACCAATGGTCCTCTCTATTCAAAATGTGGACTTTTTAACATAGATAGAAAGTCCATACAAACAAGCACGCTGGCAGAAATTAACAAATATATTTTAAAAATTAAACATGTTAGCATGGGTCAGATTAGGTAAGAAGAAGCCACTCCCCCAAACAAACGGCACAGGCATCCGATCTTGCCTGCTACTGTATCAAATCATTAATTACTTCTTACTTATGGGATTATCTGGTTTATACATCAAATTACTACATATCCCAGAATCCTATTGGCGGCATTAAAAAAAAAAAAAAGCGCCGATACGGTGGCCTTCGACAGACAGGTTCGAACGCGCTATCTCGCTTCATCGGGTTTGGCTCTAGAGTTAATTGGTGCAGAAGAGCGGTAACCCCGGGATGATTACTGAAAGTTGTGTTAATACTACAGCAACAGCCTCTCAAATTGATAGATGTAATTTGTGCCTTTAAGATTTTTTCTTTTAAGAAAGACATTCAGTGGCCTTCCTGAGGACACCTACATAGTCTCTGTTTATCATCTGTAGACATGCCTGCACGTGTCTCTAAGCTTGCAAGATATGACATTCTAGCCTGTTCCTATTTGTTTTTACGGACGGAGTTCACGGCCAGAATCGGAAAAGTAGATGACACGCCCCGGGTTGCAGTCCCTCCCTTCTCTCCTCCCCTTGCTAAATAAAGTCGCCTTCTGAGCGAAGTTTGGCAGGAGTGGTTGTGTTCACGCTCGCGATCCGACTGTCCACCGACTGTCCGACTGTCTGCACTCGCAATGGGCAATGCCTGGTCAAACTTGTGGCGCCATTTGACAGAAGGTGAGCAAGATGGGGGTGTTAAAACCGACGGGCTGCTGGGCTTAGGTTTGCTGGCTTTTGGAGGGTGACCCGGATTGCTACTCATTCCAACCGACTGTCATAAAGGAAGAAGGTGCTACAGTGATTGTAGCAGCAGTAACATTAAGCTCGGGTCCCACACAATGTGACAAGATCGGAAAGCAACAATTTAAGTAATTTGCATTGTGGGTGTTGAGTCTAATGCTACTTTGAGGCTAGATACAGAATCTTAGAAAGTAGAGCTTAGAGCTTCTCCACTTCGTTTACTACTAAGTTTATTAAAGCAGAAACTTTCGGAATACAGCATGCTGAATTATTTCTTCGAGCTTTTTGCCACTTGAATTTAGTTCCCCCTGTCTGTGATAAATTGCCAGTGCACTTTCCTTCTGTCTTGGTTGTTCATATCTAATATTCCTTCTGTTATCTTCCTTTTTTTCCCCCCAGGAAGAATAATAACGTAAAGAATGCTAACAAAGCAGCAAAAGTTTAAAGAGCTGAAATCATAATTTTTTAAAAAATGTAGGGATTTGACCCTGAATAATTTCCCTTCCACCCTTACCACCTTTAACTGGGCTTGGCTGAGGCTGAAAGGGAGTGTTGGGTGAAGGAAGATGTCTCTTCCAAAGTTTGCATGAAGACTATTTATGCAACCTCGAAAAAAATGAGTAGGTTAATCTGCTCTTTATGTTTGGTCTCCATCATCTCCACTGCATAACATTAGTTACTGTCATTTTCATATTTTATTTGTACTTTTATTCTTGTTTGTCCATTGAGCATTGAGGGAAATTGTCAGTTTCACTTTTGCCCTGTTCCATTCCTGTTTTTTGTTTTGTTATTTGAGGCCTACAGGGCTCCGGCAAATTTCCAGCTGACCACAATTGAGCCCTAAGTTTATGTTGTTAAGTGAGACATTGGTTAAGTGAGTTTTGCCCCATTTTACAATCTTTATTGCCACAGTTGCTCAGTGAATCACTGCAGTTGTTAAGTTGGTAACATGGTTGTTAAGTGAATCTGGCTTCTCTATTGACTTTGCTCATCAGACGTTTGCAAAACCTGATTATCCTGGGATCCGGCAACCATCATTTATATGAACCAGCCAAGCACCTGAATTTTGATCACACGATCATGGATATCCTGCAATGGTCATCGGTATGAAAAATGGTCACAAGTCATTTTTTTTCAGTGCTGTTGTAATTTTGAACAGTCACTAAATGAACTGTTGTTAAGGTGAGGACTACCTGCCTTGCTTAGTTTTATTCATGGGGATGGTGAGGTTTGTAATGCAAATTCACTTATAGATAGTCCTCAAATTATAACCATTTGATCAAAATTACAACACCATTGAAACAAATGACTTACAACTGGCCTTGCTCTTACTGTGCTGATTGGGGCTTCAGGTTTTTAGCACTGCTTACATGAATTAGAAAGTGAAAGTGACTCTGCAGGAACATGTGGAAATAAAAATAGCCACGGTGATTTAGTACAAGCATTTAGATGCCAGGTGTTTTTTGAAAGTCCCAGGAAGAAAGTAGGGTGTATGCGAAATATCTGTTTTCCTCCAAGTCAGATATTGACTTCTCTCTGTTCAATCTGGGATAGTTTGAGATTAATTCCTTTGGTCGGATCATTCTGTACAGGTAGTCCTCGATCTACAACAGTTCATTTACAACAGCACTGAAGAAAGTGACATGACTATTTTTCACAATTACAACAGTGGTTGTATTCGGCCCGGTTCTGGTGTACCGGTAGTGCCGAAGATCAGCTGGCAGAGAACTGGTTCACTTTGAGTCTCTCTGACATTCTGCAGTTGGGCCCACCCGCCTGCCCCTGCTCCTAGGTCCTTTTTAACCTCTCAGCTGTTTGGCGCAGTAGAGCGGATTGCTGTGCTAAAACAACTGAGTGGTGCAGTAGCTTAGTTTTTAGTGTTTTAACGCATGCACACGATCGCGCGTTTGGCACGCATGCACATGATCGATCCCTGCAGCCATACCCACAGAACTGGTGGTGGAAACTTTTGAGTCCCACCACTGAATTGCAACCATTTCAGCATCTCCATGGTCATGGGATCAAAATTCAGACGCTTGGCAACCGATTCATATTTATGATGTTTGCAGTCCCAGGGTCATGTGATTCTCTTTTGTGACCTGACAAGCAAAATCAATGGGAAAGCCAGATTCACTTAACAACTGTGCTACTAGCTTAACAACTGCAGTGATTCACTTAGCAACTGTGGCAAGAAAAGTCATAAAATGGAGCAAAACTCACTTAAGAACTGTCTTGCTTAGCAACCTAAATGTTGGACTCAGATGTGGTTGTAAATTGAGGACTACCTGTAATTCCCCAGCTGTTGATGAAAAAAAATCACTTGGGATATTTGAGTATGGCTTGAGAGTCTTTATAATCCATATAAGTTGGTCTGTGAAGGGGGAGGCATTTTAAAATGGGTTCCTTTTCCCTTGCCTCATTTTTGGATAGGCAAACAATCTAGTCAGTGCAATGTTTCTTAACTTTAGCAACTTTAAGATGTATGGACTTCAACTCTCAGAATTCCCTAGTCAGCATTCTAGGAGTTGACATCCATACATTTTAAAGTTGCTGAGGTTTGCGAAACACTGGACTAATACATAAATCAGTAATTACAGGTAGTCCTCAACTTATGATCAGTCGCTTAGCAACTGTTCAAAGTTACCATGGAACTCCCCCCCCCAAAAAAGTACTTATGATCTAGTTCTGAAGTTCAGATGGCCAGTATGTCTCCCCCAGTCACATGACCATATTTTGGCAATCAGCCCTCAATGACAGCCATTTGCAGCATTCCGCAGTCATTTCCCAAAAGAAAAATGGCTGACCCTTCCTGACAATGCCACCCACCTCTTCAGAATGCTCTCTATCATTCCAGCTGCAAAAGGCAGGGAGGCTATGAGGAAATACATTTGTTCACAGTCAAATCCGGAGTGTAGCCAGGGAGAGGCAGCATATTTCCATAAACTGCAGGAGGAGACTTCAGTCTTGCCTGCTCTCTTGAAATCTGTTTAACTTATAAGCCTGGTAACCTTGACAAACTCTGCTTTTGGCAGTTAGCTTTGAATTAGCTGCATTCTTTTCCTTTTTAACTGTTCGCCTCTCTTCCTGACCTTCACTCCTCATAACATATCTAACAGAATAATTCTGGGAATTGAAGTCCACATATCTTAAACTTGCCAAGGTTGGAAAACACTGCTGTATAAGGTTCTCTCTAATAGATGTATGGGGTATATCTAGGAGTATGTCTAGTTTAAGAAAAGAAGGACTAGGGATGACATAATACCGTGTTTCTCACATAATAAGGCCGGGCCTTTTTTTTTTGAGCCCCGATAAAACGGCTAGGCCGTCTTTTCGGGGGTAACTTAATTTCCTCCCTTTCATCCTCATCTAGAGCGCCCCGCGGGCAGCCTCGCCACCAGCCGCTCCTAACGGGTGATCATGGCGAAGCGCAGAGAGCTCCCTACTCCCACCAAACACCTTTGCTGCAGACCCAAGACCTTTGGCACCTGCCACTGTTGCTTTCCCTTCTGCCCATTCCACTGCCGTTTGGAGTGCCGTTGGAGCTGCTGCTGCTGTTTGGAGTGCCGCTGGAGCTGCCGCTGCCGTTTGGAGTGCCATTGGAGCTGCCGCCGCCGTTTGGAGTGCCATTGGAGCTGCTGCCGCCATTTGGAGTGCCGTTGGAGCTGCTGCCGCCGTTTGGAGTGCTGTTGGAGCTGCCGCCACCATTTGGAGCTGCCGCCGCTGTTTGGAGTGCCGCCGCCACATTTAGAGCTGCTGCTTCCGTGTTTGGAGCTGCCGCCGTGTTTGGAGTGGCGGCGGCGCTCCAAATGGCGGTGGTGCTCCAAACAGCGGCAGTGCTCCAAACATGGAAGCGGCAGCTCCAAACATGACGGCAGCACTCCAAACGGCGGCGGCAGCTCTAAACGGCGGCAGCAGCTCCAACGGCACTCCAAACGGCGGCGGCAGCTCCAAACAGCGGCGGCAGCTCCAACGGCACTCCAAACGGCGGCGGCAGCTCCAAACGGCGGCGGCAGCTCCAAACGGTGGCAGCAGCTCCAACGGCACTCCAAACGGCAGCGGCAGCTCCAACGGCACTCCAAATGGCAAGTCCCCCCACCCTTCCCCCTATTTTGCATGTTTTAAACTAGGCCTAAATTTGGGGGGAGGGGCTTAATTTGATTTTATGCCTAGAAAACATGCTGGGTCTTCCTATTGGTGGAGGCCGTATTGTTGGAGAAACACGGTAGCAATGTTCCAATATCTCAACACTGGAAGTTTTATTTGTCTGAAAGGATATAGGGTTTCCTGCCTGAGCAGGAGGTTGGAGTAGAAGGTCTGAAAGGTCCCGCCCAATTCTGTTATTCTGTTCTCCAACTCAAAGTTTAAAGATTGGGAAGTTGAAAATCATCTCAGAAGTAGATGAAGGCAACTCATTTCTTAGAATTGTCAAGAAAAACATGAAACATGTAGCCACCTAGAACCAAATTCAGAGTGACGGAGACTTCATTAGTCTTCCTCAACTCGTTAACTCACTTTAAAAATTATCAAAATCCACAGCTCATAATTGTATCTTGTGGTTGCAAATTAAATTAACTGTACACTGTGTTTCAATTTTTTTTGAGGAAAGGGCAGCATGGTTGTTTGATTCCATTGTGCATCATTGCATTAAAACAATAGCCTCTTATCCTTGCCATCAAGATCCGAATCATTGGATGCAAGATCAGTCCTCCCTGCTTTACACATCAGTATCATGCCTGTCTGTGGTCCAAAACTGCTGGATCACTTCCTATTTTCCAATCATCATTAAGGCTGATGCTGTGACTTATGGTGACCTTGTCTTCCAGCATTTCTGGCTGTAACTAGCTTCACTCTGAATCTTTTGGCAGATACAATTTCGTCTGTTGGGCTTGTTTACACAGCATTCATGTTTGCTCCAATTCCCATTGGCTTCATCTTCAAGAAAAGGGGTGAGTGCTAAGATTGCTATGGTCTTCATTGGAAATTCTCCTGGGTTTTGGGCCAGCAGGACTTGCCAATAGCTTGGTGACTTTGAAAGGCTGATTGGAGCGAGCTGAAAGAAGAGTTCTCCCAAGATACAGAAACTTAGAAAATGGGGATTGGACATGCACTTGGTTTTGGGATGGAAAAAAAAAAAAGAAGAATTCCAGATAAAGACTGAAATAAGTCAGAGAAATAAGAATTCCAGATAAAACTACAATATGGCCAGATTTATTCTCATTTAGCAAAGACTTGTTTTAGCCATGGCTTGCTAATTAAACCACAGTGGGGATGTTCATACATTATGCAAAGCTTTCTTATGTCAAAGCGCAATTCATGGGCTATAATGCCTGCATTTCGTATCATTCTAGACAGAATCATATTATCATTTGATATAACACGTGAGACCACCCTATTGGCCTTAATCTTGAGCTTTGCAATACATAGTCAGAACTTGGTGATATTTTTTTCCATCAAAGATAATTGGATTCTTTTAAAAGAAGATGCTGAAGAACGAGGATGGCCACAGTCTCACCCAATGAATTGTGCAGTTTCTAATTTTTAAAAATTATGGCTTTAATTTGATTACTGTTGGGTCCATGGTTCTCTTTGAGCTTGGTGGCTTTCTTGCAAACATTTCATTACCCGTGCTGATAATGTCACCTAGTTTGATAATGAAACTTCTGCAAGAAAACCATCACTCTCAGAGAGTACCAAGGATTCTGCAGTTCAACCCCCGAATTACAAATTTTTTCTTCTATCGATTCTTGGCTGTTGATTTAACGCATTTTCCCTGAAAATGAATGACTGAACCATAAAGTAATCAAACTCTCTGAGTTTCCCAGCAAGCTAAGCCACTCAGATAAATTGAAAGTTTGATAAAATAAAGTTGTTGCACAAATCTGGCTGTTACCAACTTTCTAATTTTCATACCCACAGTCTTAAATTCTCAGACTGGTGTCTGGATATTTGGTGGTGGACATTTCTTTTCCTTTCTTTTTCTATAGGATTGAAGTTCAAGAAATATGGGGCAGCTGCCGCGGGCCTTGGACTTATGCTGGCTGCTTGTGGCATCCACACCATTCATTCCTTTGTCACTATCATGGGGACATGGGTTATCATCAAAATCTCACCCAAGTAAATAGACCAAAAAAAAAAACCCCATCTGATTAAGCAAAGTATTGCAAGGAGCTGTATGTTTTGGGTGTTTGTGTTTGAAAGTCTGGGAAGTTTTGAAGGTTGGAAGTCTGAAGAGAAGAACAATGTGCAGGGCAGCTGTAGGAAAATGAACTTAATCTCCAAAGCAAAATGAGATTTGACTTCCCAATGCTCCTAATTTTAAAATAAATTAGTAGAGAGCCTGAGAAACATATAGGCAGGGATTATGGAGAAGGAAACATTAACTCTTTGGATATGGTGAGCTCTTTAGGCGTGGGCCTATGTTGCAGGATGAGTTGATGTAATGGGATGTGTAGATGACCTTGGGAAATGAAGAGAAGAAATATTGCCCAGGAAACCATCAGAGAAGAGAGGCAGGAGCCCTCAGTGGCTTAATGGCCAGGAAAAAAAAAGTTTAGGAAGCTCTCGTCTTAATGAACCAAGCAGTTAAAAGCGGTGATGAGAAATTACACTTTCACACTTGCAAGATTCTGCTGATATAGCCCTGCAATAAAGTAGAATTAGTTTATCTAGTTGCGTTTCCTGTCTGGTTTACCTGGGAGGGCTGACATGATGAATTTGGGAAGATGCAGTAGGCACAATGGTTAAAGGATCTTGGCTGGAGGAGAGGGACAAAATCAGGCTTGATGAACAGTAACAAGCTTAGTGTCTAATTAAACACCTTGCTCCCATCTATAAGAAAGCATTAAGTAGCAGAGGAGGAGGAGTTGTTGGGTATTCCCAAAATTGTTGTGTATGGTGTGGGTTGGCGTTCTCTGTGTATAAAGGAGGAGAGAGGAAAGTTGGAAATCCAGCAGGATCACACAAAGCCCAAAATAGAGATCTGCTGAGCAAAGGGGCTGGTGGAAAGAACTGGAGAAGAGACCCAGATATCAGCAAGGGTAGTTTAACAAAGGGGCTGACATGCCAGAAACTCAAAAAAAAGGGTTACTTTTTCCTCTTCCTGTTCTCTTCCTAGCACAGAAGTGAAGTTAGAAGTGAAAGCATAGAAAGTATCCATGGGAAGATGGCAATGAAACAGATCAGACCCTATAAAAAGCTGTGGTGAAATTGTATGTACATATAAGTATACAAGTAGTCCTTGACTTATGACCACAATTGATCCCAGAATTTATGTTGCTATAAGAAATTTTTTAAGTGAGTTTTGCCCCATTTTACAACTTTTCTTGACACAGTTGTTAAGTGAATCATTGTAGTTGTTAAGTTATTAACACAGTTAAGTGAATCTGGTTTGACTTTGTCAGAAAGTTGCAAAAGGTGATCACTTGATCCTAGGACACTACACAATCGTCATAAATGTGAGTCAGTTGCCAACTGTCTGAATTTTGATCACGTGACAACGAGGATGCTGCAACGGTTGTAAATATGAAGATGTGTCATAAGTCACTTGTTTGAGTAATGTAACTTTGAACAGTCACTAAATGAACTGTTGTAAGTTGAGGACTACCTATACCTATATTATAAACACACACATACTGTGAACCCCATCTCAACAATATGAAAAGGCATGGTTGGTTAGAATAGAGGTGAGAAGAAGAATAGAGGGATGTATATGCTTGAAATTATGATGTGGATGATTTCTTAACCATTACATGTTCTCTTTTTTAAAATAGGCATTCTCACTGTCTGACATTAGGATGGACATTTTCATACCTGCTCTTTTTCCACAAATTTACCTCCTTCAAGTTTCCCCAGACAACACATTTGACCAAATCTGTGCAACTTTTGCTCACCCTCAAGGTAGCTGGCCTAAACTCTGGTTGGTTAAGGTAAGAAGAGTTCTTGGGTTAACTAAGTCCTTCCTCCTGTATTTTGATTGATGTCTTCAGATGGTGAGCATAGCCCATGATGTGCAAGAATTCATTCAGGTGAAGGAACAGGAAGTGACATCAAATGCAATTGGCATGATTCCTGAAATACCTGGACTGCCAGAGATACTGTGCTACAGTTACTGCTATGTGGGACTTATGACTGGTAGGTGAATTCCCTAATAGAAAGTGAAATATGTGTTACAGGTACAAATTCTTGTGATGCATTTTTCTTTTGACAGCCTTATGGCCTTCAGCTTTGTTCGGGTATTTTCCCACGTCATAGTAGTGGTGCTTTTAAAGTTGTAGCAACGTTTCAGCAGAATCTCATCTGCCATCATCAGGCTTCTGTATTGTGTCCGTCTGTG